TTTAGGTCATTATCCGTTTGCACTGTGAAGCTCCGTCCCGTCAGTTTTGCAGCGCTTGCTTAATCTGAGCAGAGCATTTGCAGTTTTGGGAAGCTGACTGTTTGCCATCTCTCTATATGTCTTAGTTGTTTTTCAATCTAACGATGCTCTGCTTCACTTCCATCGTCATATCTTTGTGAACAGTGAACAGCTACTAAATGCAACTTCAACACTTGGAATACAGTTCAGGTTTTTTGGAAAGAACGAGTCTCATCCAGCCATAACGCTGCTTGTCAGTTAATTCTCCAATTACTTCTGAGCTTCTGAAAATGAGGGACTTTGTATAAAAATGGCTTTAATTACTGAACAGTTAATGCAATACTTTTGCTAAACCCTTTGAAATAAAGGTGGCATTTGCACTTCAATCACATTCATTGTTTGATTTTAAATCCATGGGTGAGATGTAGCGGGACAAAATGAGAAGACAAAATTGCCTCATTGTCAACAGACCTGACTGTATGATTAAAATATAAACTGATACTGCAGAATTTTTTTGGGTCATTAAAGTAGAAGTGATGTAAGAAGAATAAGAGGAGTCGACATGTGACTTTGTATTCTGTTACCAGCAGCTGTCAGTTTCTGAACCAGCTGACAGTTTTTGGTGTTGTCTGCTATCGACATATTTGGGGCAATACTCAGTAAGCATTTAGGCTCAGCCGTCAGCGTTGACACAAAATACAAAAAATCGACCAAAACACACCAAAAACTCTGTTTTTCTCGCCTGCAGCAGCTTCTGGTTTCCTCAACTTTCAGCTGACAGTTTTCTTAATATTTCTCAGTGAGGAGTCGTCTATATCAGTGGTCCCCAACCCCCGGGCCTCGGACCGGTACCGGGCCGCGAGAGTTGCTCAGGTGTGAAATGTCTGGTTTTCAGGGTTTTTATCGGTTTTCAGCGTTATTTTGTTATCGTTTTTATCGTTAGCTCTGTTTTCCTGGGTCTTTTCACGTGTGTTATGAATAAATCTTCTTTTTTTCAGTACCAGTACTAGTTTTATTTTGTTGTATTTATTCGCGACACCTTAAAGGCCGGTCCGTGAAAATATTGTCTGGCATAAACCGGTCTGTGGGGACCGCTGGTCTATATGATTGGAGAATTAGCAATTTTATGGCCATTGGTCGTAGTAATTCAGTTTGAGAGTGAATGCTCTTCCTGTTCTGTATTTCATACATATTGCTTACCTTTTCCATTTAAATTAAGTAAAAATGGGAGCTGCATAAAATACTTTGTTGTTACAGTTGGGAACAAAGGTGCACACTATGGATTTTAAAATAAACACTGAGGTGAAGCCGCTCGAGATTTTATCAGGTTTCCATAAACCATAGCGATGATTTGATGCTTCTTAATGAAGTAATGCACTGAGAGTTGCAGTTGGCTATTTTTACATTTTTATGGAAATGGATTTGTACCTTTTGACTTTTTATCTAAAAGACATATTTTTCTGCTAATGGAGTTGTTCATCGTTTGTACTGATGACTCAGCTGGGAGAATCGTGCATCATTGTCTGTGCAGAACATGGCAGGGTGTTTGTACCTGCTGTAACCCCTGGCATCTTGAATTACTCCTCCCACCTGTCAGAATAATTGTAGATGCATAAGACATAACAAATCCAAGGAGTAATGAGCCCAAATGGTCATTTGAGGTGTTTAAGAGAGATTATAAAGGAGCTGAGAAACACTGCTTGATGTGTTCTGCTTTGGGGAAAAAGCTCTGATAGCATCTTCAACTCTATTGGATTGTTTTTGCTTTTTCAGCGTTGTTTATGAGAACTTGACAGTTGCATTACCTTGTGAAGTTTGATGAAGTAAGCACTTAGCATTAATTAAAAAGAAAGATACCAAAATCAGCTGACTCATGTGTGAGCTTATCGGTGCCCCAGTAAAGGACGGAGCAGCCCTCCAATCACAGATGTGGAATCATGCATTTCTGTAGTATTTCAAGCTTTAAGTTATGGACAGGGCTGTAAACAAACTTGACAGCCGTTCTGCTCCTGCTCGGCAGAACTCTGATGTGAAGTCAGGTTGTAAGGATGAGGTTAAAAAGCAGCCCCAGAATGATATGAGATGTTGACAGCAGGTTGTGAAACTTTCGACCATGGCCTTCCTTTTAATCACATCTGTAGCATCACATAAGTCGAGCCCGCTGCTCACTCAGTTCAGTAGGAAATTAATGGAGCTCTGGTGATATACCGCTTAAGTTTCTTGTGGCATGAACGCATAAAGAGAGCGGATACACCGGGGTCGAAGAGGTTGCGTATAAACGACCCAGGGCGTGCAAAAGGGGAACTCGGGGGAGATTTACTTGCACAGCAACAATGAAACCCACAGCAAGACTGACAAGTCTGTAAATCCTAAGCACACTCTCATCACTCACTATACTGATGTGAAAAAATATAGTTGAAAGTAGCATCTCTGACTGGCACTTGAATCTATTTGGGATGGAAACAGTTTAATATAGAAATATATAAGTGAGGAATGATTTCAGAACTGTTTGCAGCTCAAAGGGTGTCGAGTTCAAACACCAAGTTTGGTGTGAGTAAATAAAAAAATTGGTTATCTTGCGATATTATCTCACTTCCTGTTTGTCTGCTTCATGTGATAATAGCTCTACAGGACTGAGCTGCTGCGGTGAATAAACAGCCGATTTTAGGAGCAGACTTTTTATTTATGCCCTTGTTTTTTATTCATAGAGACAAAGATTCTTTATGAATAATTTAAAAAAGGAGCTGTTTTAAGTGTCTCAACTCTTCATGAAACTATCTTTGAACATTTAGACATCATATCTGTGCCCACTATCAGTGACTGTCATCCTATGTGCTCACATCAGTCACCCTGAATACTGATGTGTCCCCAACAGATTCCATATCTTGTGGCCACAATTTTGTCATCACGTCGCCATGCATTGCTAACTCGAGGCCACACAATAATATGCTACCGGGATGGTTTCCACTGAGAACGATAATGTGAAAGATTTACTTTTAAAGTACTTAATTACACTTGAGAATATTTCTGCACACCATTTAAAGGCTATAGTTTCAGTTTGTGTTGCACATGAGATTTTATGATGTTCATGCCACAAAATTAGACGTTATATCTTCTGTTATTTATTTAAATTATACTTGTATGTCTCAAAAAAAAACTTTCATTCATTCATTGATCCACGTCAAGCCCCTCCCTGAGCCTGATTCTGACTGAGGTTTGTTTTACGGTTGAGAGTTTTTCCTCCTCGTGTCAGAAGAACGTGTTCAATCATCTGATTGTTGGGGTTTCATCTCTAATATTATCCAGTCTTTAGCTTACAATGTACAATATAAAGCACTTTAAGGTGACAGGTGTTGTGATCAAATCGAATTGAACTCATTCATTCATGACTTCAAGCTCTTGAAAATCGGAAACCCAGTATCTCATATTATTATAATATTCTATTTCAAGTTTGAGCAAGTTATTGTTCAGTGCACACAACCATACAATCACGGGGAAGACTGCTGACTCTGCAGTTATCCAAATGAAGATCATCAACACTTTCCCAAGGAGGGTGAGACACAGATATTAATTGCTGAAAAGGCTGGCTGCCTGCAGCATTCCTTACCAAAGCATATTTATGGAAAGTTGGTTAGAAGTCCATTTAGAACTTTAGGAAGCGTCACACGGAGGACTGAGGCCGGTGTGACTTCATCACAAGCCACCACTTACAGACGACATCAGGACCGGAGCAACAGCTGTCACATTGCTAATGTTAATTCCTAATATCGAGCTAGTCCTGAACTAGAGGCAACATCAGAAGTGTGTAATCTGGGCTAAAAGGAAAAAGAGCTGAACTCTTGCTCAGTGGTCCGAAGTCCTTTTTACAGATGAAAGTAAATTTTTGCATTTCATTTGTAAATCAAAGTCGTAGTCTCTGGAGGAAACATGGCAAGGAACAGAAAGGTGTTTGAAGTCCCGTGTGAAGTTTCTGCAGTTGGTAATGACTCGGTGTGGCTCATTTGCTGGTGCTTTTGGTGACTGGGCAACTTTATTTGGTCAAAGTCAATGAAGCCAGATACCAGGATCACTTCCCAGCACTGCTGAGGAGTTTTGTGGAGATACCGATTTCCTTTTCCAGCAGCACTTTGCTGACCGTGCTACTGCCGTGACTGACCACCCAACTAACCTGCACTGTGGGACCGCTATCAAAGCAAACCCTCAATACATTAGCAGGTGTAGCAAGCTGATCGCCTTCAAATGACATTGATGCTTTGGTGCAGTAAGAACTAAAACAGTTCCAACTATAACCTCACAGAAGTCGGACTCATTTTTGATTGATCATAGAAAATACTCCATGAGCCATCATCATGAAAACACTTGAGATATTTCACTTTACACGTACTGAAAATAAAATATTTGAAAATGTTTCATTTTGAATAAAAAGCATGAAAACAAATTGACTTTTTCTTGACACTTTCTTGACTACTTGTGGCCTGATTTAAAGTTAGAAAATTGTGTCTCAAACCTTTTTTTAGGTATATGTAAAACAAAGAAACAGACTTGCAATCCCTTTTGCCCTAGGTACAGATCATTGCTGCACATCTAAACCACATCAGACAATCTTAATTGTTTTAATTAAAAAGCGAATGATGTTTTGTGATTCACTAAAACTCAGGCTCTATAGATTTGTAACCTGTAGAAAAACAACAGTTCACTTAAGCACTGAGAAAGATACAAAATCCTTTAAAAAGCAGTTAATGAAAAACCAACGATTTCTGAAAGAATTTGAAAGCTGCAGTTGGTGCCTGAGCTTGACAAGAAGCAATCAAACGGCAGCTGGAATTAAGAATTGACCGAGTATCTTAAGAGTAGTCTGGAGTCAGGCTCAGTTTGTATTATGTTTACCCAGCTGCAGCTTTTGCCTGCTCTACGGCTGCACTTAATGGTTTATTACATTGGATGGCAGTTGTGAGTAATGAATTGTACCTTGTTTCTTGCAGCTTAGATAAACTGCTGGATTCGGGCTTGTATACTGGAGAGATAACAGAGCTGTCGGGAGGCCCGGGAAGTGGCAAATCTCAGGTGAACATTTCCTACCTTACCTCTCCGTCACTGATAATTTCAGCCTCATAAATTCACTCCTTTTTAGAATTCCCCGTTCTCCCGTAGAATAAGAAAATGCACCTTCCAGAGTCGCTGTTTAACCGAAACAAATTGTTCATGTTAACTTTAACTATCCCCGACATGCTTCCCTTCGCTTGTAGGTGTGCTTCGGTGTTGCAGTGCACATTTCTTACCAGCTGAAACAGAGTGTGATCTATATCGATACGACAGGAGGGCTGGCCGCCAGCCGCTTGCTTCAGATGCTGCAGGCTGAAACCAGCAACACAGAAGAGCAGGTCAATTACCTGAAGCTGCATTGAAAATTTTGGGTTATTTGAAGGAAAATAAAAACAAGCAACTTCTGCTTTACAGATGGAAGCTCTTCAGAGGATCCACGTCTTCCGTTTATTTGACGTTTACGCTCTGCTCGACTGTCTGTACAGTCTTCGCAGTGGTGGGCTTCAGCAGGTTTGTTGACAATTGCTTTTTTATTTCGCTTAAAATACACCAGCAGTCTTTCTGTAGCTGGGGAACCTTTGTAGAAAGACGAATCAAATTTCAGCAATCTAATTTTGTCACATTTTGTATTAGGCGTCTGTTGGCGGCGGCTCTGTCAAGGCGGTGATTGTGGACTCTGTGTCAGCTGTTATCTCGCCTCTACTGGGAGGCAAACAGAATGAAGGTGATATCTCTCTCTGCTGGTCCATCATAGTCAATCATACCTCAGGCTGTTTTTACACCTTCAGCCATAAAACTGAAAATAAATGTCACAACACGTTTAAACACATCTGTGGAAGCATGACAGCCAGTCATAAGAAAGTGGCAAAATAACACACTAATATTTGTGGTGTCACATTAAACCGCAAACCATTACAGTTTAAGCATGAGCTCGAACCTCTGCTGTCAGTTATAAATAGAGCTGTTTTCATTAAATATGTAATTGCTTAAATTCGAGTCTGGCCTCTTGGGACTCAAAATAATTGAAATTCGTAATCCAAGTGAACTTCATTCAATTTGTAATGTTTGTAGAAAGCTCCAAAACTGTCATCTAATTAAACTGACAGTCAGTGCACCAAAATTCAAAGGTTCTTATCTAAAATAAACCTGCCTGTAAAAAGACATAACAATGCAAGCTATTAGCACTCTGCAATCTCTGCTGGTCTGTGTAGTGCAGCTCCTGATTGCTGAATAACTTGATTCAAAGAGAAAACCAGAAGAAGAAAATCCAAAAAATGAAACCAAACTATCGGATAACATCACAACACATGAAGACAATAACATTTCTCTTACCTGGAAACCTTTCGGCCTCATTTTCAACTC